AACCTCAGAAGGCTTTGCTGTGAAGTGATGCTCAGACAAAGGTCTCCTTTTGACAGCCCCAGTATTAAAAACCGCACTGGCTTCTTGCTTATTCAGCAGAAGCCAGTTCTCTCCTGTACCTGTTGTGGCAGGGGTCCAGGTCCCCATCCCTCACTCACTAGTGGTGTGGTAACAGTCTGGCAGGATGAAATTCAGCTAACAACTGTATTAGCAGTGGTTAAGGCACTATATGTTAAGGCACTATAGGTGGTTTAATTCTCTGCTTGCAACACTTCTTCTTCAAGGTTGAGAAGAGTATGAATTAGAAATACAGTATGTCTGTAACACAAGTCCTGAAAAGAAAGGTATTGTTTCTGCACAGATTTCCCCAGAGGGGAAATTCACTTGAACTTTTGCTGATGGCATGTTTGCTGCCAACATCAAGCTGTGTGGTGCATTTGACACTCAGGAGGAAGGGGACTCAATCCAGAGGGGACTTCAAAAAGCTTGGGAGATGAACTTGTGGGAACCTCATGAAGCTCAACAAGGCCAAGAGCAAGGTTCTGCACCTGGGTTGGGGCAATTCCAAGCACAGGTACAGGCTAGGTGGAGAATGAATTAAGAACAGCCCTGAAGAGAATGACTTGGGGCTGTTGGTGGACAAGAAATTCAACAAGGTCTGATGATGTGTGCCCAAAAGGCTAACTGCATCCTGGATTGCCTTAAAAAAAGCTTGGACAGCAGGTCAAGGAAGGGGACTCTGCCCCTGAGGTCTCATGAGACCTCAGCTGGAGTACTGTGTCCAGCTCTGGGGCCCCTTCTTATGAAGGACATAGATTTGTTGGAACAAGTGCAGAGGAGGGTCACAGAGATGGTCAGAGGGCTGGAGCACCTCTCCTCTGAGGAAAAGCTGAGAGAGTTGGGATTGTTCAGCCTGGAGAAGAGAAGGCCCTGAGGAGACCTTATAACACCTTCCAGTACCTAAAGGGGCCTGCAAGAGAACTGGAGAGGGACTTTTCACAAGGGTGTTTAGTGACAGGACAAGGGGAAATGACTTCAAACTGAAACAGGGCAGGTTTATATTAGATATTAGGAAAAATACTTTACTGTGATAGTGAAGCACTGGAACAGGTTGCACAGAGATGTTGTGGATGCCCCATCACTGGAAGTGTTCCAAGCCAGGCTGGATGGGGCCTTGAGCAACCTGGTTTTGTGGAAGGTGTCCCTGCCTATGGTAGGGGGTTTGGAATGAGATGATCCTTAAGCGTTTGTTCCATTTCCTTCCAGACTGTCCTCCTGCAGGAACTGACAACAGGAACTGACCTCCTGCAGTGCTGACCACACTGCAGAGTGGTCTCTGGTCAGCAATGCTACTTTGCATTGGATAAGCTCAACACGCAAAATGTATGTAATTCACTAGTTCAATATCTCTTGCACAGCATGTTGCTGGAAGTGGAAGAGTTGCTATCAATTTCTTAGTGATTCTGTGACTGAACATACTGGGGTTCCCTACAGCTAGTAAACCTATCAGCAAAATAGCAGTAATGCAATTGTGATTACACCACAGAATGTGATTTTTCAAATCAATTTTAAACCTCAACATGCCAAAGATTCTACTTGTTAATCTGAAATGAAGATGATTGGAAAGATCCTAACTTCACAATACCCTTAATTCCATCTTTACATACCTATTCGAGCCCCTGAAATGCTAATAGAAATTATATTTCACGTGTATACCACAGACAATATAACGGCAGTGTGGATTTAGCAACAACTTATTGGTACCGTGCCTTATTGAGTCTCTGTCTTATAACAGACTTAGTGGTAACATGCACACAGTTTTCAACAATGGTAGTGTGGTTAATGTACCTGTTTCTAAAATAAGGCATCACTTGACCGTTTTCAGCACATGGTACTGAAAGAACAGCTAGGTCAAGAGCAGAGTTGTTCCTGCACGTGCTGCAGTTTGCAGCTGCATTGCTGAATTCTCCTGCCTGATGTCATATGGAAGTACTAAACTCTCTCTTGAGCAGAGTGACCTAACCAACGTTTGTGGATCAATACCACTGATACTAGCAAAATTTCAGTTCAGCACTATTTTTACAGTAGAAATTAATGCTTCTCTTTTTACAGTCAAGCTTATATTCTCATCCGTGCATAGGGGTTTACAAGTCTAATCTAAAACCTGCTGAAGTGAGAGGAAATTGTTCCTTTCGATGCAATGTGTTTCAGATCCATCCAATTATTTGTTGACAATACTTACATTATTAGGCATCGGCCTTTTTTTTTTCAGAATGAAATAAACACCAGATTACTGATGAACTTTTACAATCTTTGTGTAACTTTTAAAATGTTGCTCTAAGTATGGAATGATGACTAGACTGTGTACACATACCACACAACTCTATCAATATTTGCATGAAGTCTTAGTTCCTATCAGCCAAGCTAAGGGACAACCTTTGTAAGTTTTGAGGTATTTCTAAATGCTAAATTAATCAAGCACAACAAAAATACAGTGACTGGGAGGTTTTTGTCTCTTTTTTCTATTATATAGTTACAAGCTACAATGGTCAGAAAAAAATGGATGCAGCAAACCTCAAAATCTCAGTTCATCTGAATGCAAAGTTATATGGACTGCACCATACATTCAAGTGTCTGAAGACAGTCGCCTTCTGGCAAGTGAGTTCCTAACTTCGTGCCCATCAGGCAACTAAAAGATGATACCAGATGTACCTCTAAGCTTTCCAAGGGCAAGAGAATTTGCACTATTTACTATAAGTCCTAGCAGCTCAGCTGTGGCTTTTGGGGTCTGCTTTCTTCATTAATATGAAATTTCACCTTATGCTGAATCTTAACGTGTGTGTTTGTTGTGCATTTTGTTCCATCTCTCTGAACAGGATATTCTCTCTGGCATTTCTTCATCTGGCATAGTTTAATGCAGACCAGATTTAGACATTCAAATTAGTACTGTTTAAGCTCTTTGAGTGACATTTCCAATTAAAAATAACTTATTTACTTTTCACATAAAGAGTAAATACAGTTTTTGATACTGCCCAATCTAAAACTTAATCTTATATAAAATTAGGAAGAGAAGAGAGTCAGGCCATTTTTTGAAATTAATCAAATATTACTAAGAATGAGGTGCCTGCAATAAAAACATTTTGCCAAGCTCAGATGTTGACGGTACTACCTGAGTAGCAATGTGTGGCAGCAGAAAAAGCTTTCACTTTTTGTTTTAAATCTACTAATTACTAATAGGCAATTGCCTTTGACAAGACAATCACTTCTTGCCTTCACTGAAAAAAACATCCAAAAGATTTAATTTAATTTTGTTCTCCTTTTATCACTCTCTCTCCCCTTGTCGATATATCATGCTGGTGTCCGTGAAGCAATCCTTCTTTTGAGATGACAGTGATGAGGATGAGGAGTACACAGGTAAAATCATCCCAGTACTGGAATATTTCAGGCTTATTTCCAAGTACCACGTTAAGCTCTGGAGATAGCCAAACCTTCAGTGAGCTCACTGGCTGCAGGAGCCTAAGGAACACACCCTGCTGACACCACTAATCTGCCTCTTAGTTTATCACCATCTGCTCTGTGTGAGTTTCCAGCCTACCTTCTGTTGCCTTCTCCTCCTCAGCCTTCATAGTAATGCTACTCCCAACACTCTTTCTGTATTTCTCTCTCAATTAATCCTGGACGTTTTCTCACCATCCTCCACACCTCTACAAAACACTCACTTGAGCCAACAGGGCACAATCCTACTTTTTCACTCCCCACTCTCTCCAGCAGGAACTCAGAACTGGCACCCTTTAATTGAAATGCCAGAAAAAGCTCTGGCTTAAAATAAATGGTCACAGGATCTTCTTTATATTGACTTAACCAAGTCAATAGCAAGCCTGAGCCTGCTATGACAGTGCGGACTGTGGCTCCCCTAGGACACCAAGCATACAGCAGGCTGGAGCAGCAAGTGCATGCCCTGATGGTGTTAAATCATACATAAACCAGCAGCAACAAGCACCTTCTCTGACAATAAAAAGCAGAAGCTTCATTTTAACTCATTTAGCTTCTCTTTTCAGACACAAACTCTCTCTATTAGACTCCTGAAATCTGTTTTACTTCAGGGAGTTCGGCTGAGCTCAGAAACGAGTCTGGCAGCACAACCCCCTGAGGCAGAAATCTCCAAAGTAGGCACAGCACAAAAAGCACTGCCTGCCTGTTTAAGATTAATTTCCCCTCAACACTCACTGGAGTTCACCACCACTGGCATTTGTGCCTTCAGCCTTCGGGACAGGCAGGAAGACAGCCATAATACTGATGTGTGAAATGTTTGGAAAAATGGTTCAAAAAAGCCAACGGGCAAAATCAGCATCCTATTACTTTGCTAATATCAACCAGTTTTAGCCTGCCTGTTTTGATGGCCCTGAAACACTGTACCTCACTGTCATGATGCTGGTGCTAGTGCAGATAACGAGAGAGCAGGGCAGATGCAGAAAAAGGTACACAAGCCTGAAATTAGGAGCATCATTTTTGTAAGAGCAAAGGTAAAAAGCAGTGTTGGAAAAATGGTGATCCAGAAGGTCCTGAATAGAAACATTCTTTCACCATCAAAACCATTTAACCAACAAACTGAGGATGAAAACCAGAAGGGAAGACTTTTACTGCTACTATCAATTTTCCTCATACAGGTGTTTCATGAGTAGCTATTCACAGGCACAGATATTTACTGACACTGTCAGGTAGATGTTAGTCTGCTATGAGCAGCTTAGGTGGGTGTGCTATACTCAAATTTTACATGGCTGATATGAAGACTAGCTTGGGACTCACTCATTTTGCAAACATGCGGACTTCTAAGTCTCCAAGTTTTCTTGATTTATGCCTTTAAAGAGTTGGCAGACAATAACACATGTTAACCTGCAGAATGTTTCAGTTGTTGAAGTTTTTACACATTTTCTAAGCACATCATCTTGGATTCAGGCTCTGACTGTCCTGGCAAATGATGAAATGATGACTTTCACATATTGCAGTGAGAAATGCATTTATTTCATACACAGGTTCATAATTAACTTTAAAAAGACAGCTAACACTATCATATCTAACAAAACTTCTTTATCCCCTTAGAAGTACTGCTGTGTGTATCACTGGGTGCATCTCCATCTGAAGAAGTTGATTTTCTTTCCAGGCTCTGGGTGATTACATGTCTGAGCATTAGCTACAATTACTGATGACATGAAGGAGAGCCATGCACACAGTGTTCATCAGTGAAGACTAGACATCCCTTCCTGACACCCCTCTTCCCCTCTCTATCCTCTGATGCTATAATTGTCAATTTTACAGAAAGTGTGAAGAAGAATATCAGCTGTGCTTCACGAACTCTGGCAGCTCCATTCCTGTGCACAGGGTAAGCACTCCTGCCTTCTCCAGGGCGAAGGCTGGGTGAGCAGCATTGGTGAATTTGTGCCTCATGCCGAACAGCACAAGTCCTCTCTCTGCATTGAAGAACAACAGTCTCCCACTGCTGTAATCCAACAGGATGCCAATCTTGGCCAGGTGTTCTGTCACATGGACATCACTCATTACACCAGTGTGAAGAAATCTGTAAAGAAAGCTGTGGGAAAATGGAAACCAGAACACAGTAAAGCCTCCTCATGACAATTTACCAGAAATAACCCACAGTTTAATTCCAATCTATTAACAGGTGGCTGCATACATCAGATTACCACATGGCAACACCATTTGCTCAGTATGTAGGCAAAGCAAATGTGGCATCCCTTCAAAGCCCTGCCTGGCATGCTGATGAGCCTTTTCACTTCGCATCTCTAGACTCTTGGAATAAAAGCATCTTGGATGTTTCATTTAGCTAGTTGTGTTCATATATCCGTATGATTTCATACTGAAAAAAGCACACTTGTTTAGATCAAGATCACCTTTACATCGTTAGCAGGGTATTACCTTACAAACCTTCAAGCAGCCTGGCACTGGCCTGCTACCACAGACTATTCCAGCACCCTGCAGCCCTGTCGCAGGTGACAGGCAGGTGATAGGCAGGTGAGTGCCTATCACTGTGAAGGACAAGGCAGGAGAAAGCATTCTCTATTGAGGCTTGACATCTCTTGCAGAAGGAAAGAGATTATAAAAAGACTGCCTTTTTGGAAATAAATACACTTGCTGGGGTTTAGTGAATCAGTTCAGGATATGAGCCTGGAATGACAAAGCAGCAGCAAACTAGTTCTTTAAGTTTTATTCACTGGTTGAGTGAATAAAGGGTGATAAACTCTCTGTTTGAGATTAATTTTATTTTTAAGGTGCTTTTCTACGGAGGTATATTTAAAGTATTTGTTAAGGAGGTCTAAAGACCTTTTTTAGTTATTCTTTTCTTATTATTCAAATTTGCATAAAGAAGGTAGAAGAATTTTTTGTGCTGTTATGATTCTTGAAGAGGTCTGGCTTTTTTTCATGAAGGACAAGTAGCTTCCCAAGCAGCTAGACTGACTTTTCTTTACCTGGTTTGTGTAGGACAGCACCGCATGCACCAGGAGGTATCACTCAGCCCCAGGACACCGCTCTCTGTTATTGACTCATAGCAAATCCCAATCCTGTAGCTTCTGCAGGCAGAGACAACAATTTCCCAGTAATGACATCCTTGAGCAGGCAGCAGTTCACCCAGGACTGAAGGAAACCTGTTTGTGAAAGAAACATCCAGTAAAATGTGTGTGGTGGTAGATGAACCATATTGTGATATTTCTTTCAGTCACATCATGAAGCATCATCTAAAATTACTAATGAATTGCACTCTGCTGTTCCAAATGCGGGGTTTTATCAAAGATTTAAATGTTGTCACTGAGAGTCGTTCATCTTTGCACTGAGATGATCTCATCTAAAAGATGCCAGATTTTGAAGGCTTGTTCAAACTAGAAAGCATAGTTGTTTGAGTAGTCATAGTGACAAACATCTTGTGTACATTCAGTTGTAACAGTAAAAAATATGCTTAAACCACTAAATCCTCATCACCTTTCAAGAAGCCGTATCAGTATGCCACAACTTTTACAAGTGGACCTGTGCTTATGACAGGACTGATGTCAATATGTCAAAAAATCCCCCAGGTTCACAAAGTATACAGCTAGCCTGGTACAACCATGCTAAACATATCCCAAAAGCACTTCCTAGTTCTCTGAAGCCACAAATACTTTGGAAAACATTACCAATAATGCCTTCAGGAGAGGAGCAAAGTATGCAAGATGGATTACTTCTATCCACAATATATTAAAAAATAAGCCCACAAATCTGATCTTTTCAGGGCAGCAAAAAATTGCTTTGAGACTGAAGTGCTCTGATGGATTAAGCAGTGACCATGGGCTGAAGCAAATCGAGCAGTGCCAGAGATACCACTGCCTTAGACTTCCTGGCCATATCAGAGTGTGGCACTGAACTCTTCCCAGCACCTACATCAATGCTACCACTGTCTTTATTGAAATGTTGCAATGCTTGAAAGGGGGGGAGAGTAGATCACACAAAGTCCAGAGGCTGCATGACAGTGATTCAGTTCTTCTACACAATTGGTATCATGTGAAAGCTGCCTATAGGCAAAAATAAAAGTGAGGGATCTATCCTAAACCTCACAGAGTAGTCACACTCATCATGCTGCTGCTTACCCAGTGAGTTTAGTTTTCTCAGGAAGGTGGATCACCGTTGCATTGGAGGAGATCTGCAAAGCGGGATGGGCTGTGTCACTCAGGAGGCGAAATCGAGTTCCTGGTACAATTGATGACAACGAAACACTAGATATGAGAAGCTGGCTACTTTAACATGAGACAAATCATAAAATGTTAAGCAACAATAACTGCTGCCTTAGCTGGACATGGTTGTGTCTACTGGCAGGTAGGAGTGACAGAAAATTGGGTACAAATGCAAGGAGTCTTCCAATCTGTGCCCAACTGGGACAGAAGTCTAACATTCAGAAATGCAGCTAGGTGATAAAGAGGTCTTCAGTATTTAAAAAGGTTGAATAATTTTCAATAATTTGTTTTTTCAAAATAGCAAATTTGAATTTTGAGGCTGATTTTGAAGAGCAATATATTATTTATTTGGGAATCGTAGGGTTTAAACCATCTATTACATTTTAAGGCTGCTTTGCATACTTCCTCATCACTGAAACTCAAAGTCCATAAGGTTTTAATTGTGAGAGCAGTTTTTTTAATGTCATTGGAACTTTTATCTGAATGTGTTCTGTCAGACTCATGACACTGAGATTGTCTGAAAAATATTTAATCACTTCATATCTGACAGAATTCAATATTTTTGTTTCTGAGGTCACACCAGCTTTACATTGACATGAATATACAAACTTCAATTGAAGTAGTCCTGATTATACTAATTTTAAGCAGAAAAAACCTGATATATGTTTGAGTTATTGAAATAAAAAATTCAATTACTTGTTCACTCCTAAATTGGGAACTTCAGATATGATTTTCAAAGAAAAATGTTTGACTGCTTTGCCCCTCCATCCCATTGTTTTGACATCAGGAAATTATGATCTACCTTTAGTTGAGATGAGAGCTGCTTCACTTTGTTCACTTGTCCCAAATGAGTTGACAGCCCTCAAGTAGAAGAAATAGTTCACATTGGGCTCCAGGGGTACTTTCAGTTCAGGTTTCTTTATACCAGCAAAAGATCTGCAAATTTTGAACATACATGAAAAGGTATGCACTTACCCAAACTAGGAAAGACTAATATAAGCAAACAGCTAAGCTTCCTAACAGTATTGTTGACTACTGAAACATCAGGCACCACACAGAAACTCCAAATCAGAAAAGTGAACACTGTTTTTTCAAAGAACTGGGTTATGTAGGAGCTTCAATGTGTAACTTGAGGGATTGCTCTCACTTTGACAAATTTTCAGGCCCTTTCTGTACCACCTTCTCACTCAGTGCAATCATCTGGTGTAATGATCACTTGGTGTTTGTTTGGCAGCAGCATAATCATCATATAAATTTCAAGCAGCACAGAGTCAAATCCTCATCTGCCTCTTGTGAAAAGGCTGCTTCACAAAATGAAGAAGTTTCTGAAGAAAAAACCCACTCTTTAATTAATTCAGTTGCATGACAATGAATGCACTTGTGTTTTTACTGTCTGGGCATACGCTGCAAGTCCAAAAGAATGGCTACCCTTATCTGAGGCCACAGAGAGATCATGTACGTCATTATAGGATTATCATAAAATAGTGATTCACTTTCTTATTATGAACTCCTTGCTCACAAATCCTTCACCAGCTAAGTCTGGGCACTGTCTCTCTCATGCTGCTGTGCACTCAACTGGGCAGTTTTGTAGAAGGCAGCAGCAGAGGAGATGCCTCTGTACAGTGCCCAGCTTTGACTTAGTCTCCCCATCGTGGTTCCTCAAAAGCTCCAGACCTCACATCCTAAACCATTGGTGTCTTCACGTATTACTGGAAAACAAAAGTCAGCACCCACTCAATCTGCTTCACAGGTGCTTTGAAGTACCAGTTAAGGGATTTTGGATGGCTAGAAAGATGCCAATTATATTTTCTGTTTTGTCAGGAACATGAAAGATTGGTTTAACAAATTCTCATGCACTGGATATAATTTTCCTCATTTTTGTCTCATATGGTAAGAGCCAAGCCAGACAGTATATACGCACTGCACTGTATGCCTGCAGGTAAAGACCGTGTATAAAGTACCTAATTTCCTCCAAAAATGCTTTTAGGAATTTTCAAGGCAAGTATTTACATTCACAAACTGGAGACCTGCCTTTGGAGAGTGTGCAAGGCACTTTCCCTTCCACGTTAGCTTTGAGAGTGGAGCCCACGATGGTCTGCCCCCCGCAGACAACGCCTCCGTAAGAAGGTGGATTAAACAAATTACCTTTCCCAGCGCAAATTTCTGTGACCCCGGAAGAGGTAAGGCAGGCGAGTCTTGGTCTGACCGAATCGTTGCTATTCATTTGGAATTGCTGTTTTTCCCCATATATCCCACCAGAGGGCAGTACAAACTGAAGTATAATCAGTGCTCATCCTGGGATTTTTTATATGCCTGCTTCTGCTGCATTTGTCACCTCAATGTAAAATCTCATAGCTGTTAACGCACCAATTTCCTGCTAACATCACACAGATCTCTTTCTAGGAGGATGGTATCTTGGAAAAAGTCTGGTGCATCATACTTATTACTCTGTAACAGGTATTTTACACTGTCAATTGTCACTAAAAGTGGTTGAAAGCATCAAAAAAAGCACTGGGTGCTCCTGTGATATATTCTTTCAAATTAAAAGAATTCCAGGGCTTTCAGGGCTCCTGTGTGATCAGCACAGGAGTATGTTACCTTTGCGAAAAGTGTTATATTAATGCTGGAACTGAGGCAGTAAAGAGAAGTGGTTGCAAACATGGTAGAAATTGCATGGTTCGCTTCACACTCGTAAAGCCCTGACCACAAGATCACTTCAGCAAGGCACTGGGAGTCCAGCAGACTGGTAGGTTCTTACTAGAAGGTTTAGGGAAGAGATGTTACCTGATAAATTGCCTGATGAGGAATCTGAGCTCTTTAGACTTGAAAGAGGAAAAAGGCTCATCTGATTATAGAAGGCAAGAGAAAAAAGGAAGATGAGTTGAAGAATAAGATGGGAACTGAGAAGAGAGGCAAATACGAAATAAGTGAGAGAAAAGAAAAACAGGATAGAGCAGAAGTAGGGGAAAAGAAATAGGCACCTAAACTTTGAAGAAATCTGCTCACACTTTCTAGGCAAGACTCGCCCAATCATTAAAAGGACCATAGTGACCTCTTTGATGCGAATCTGAAGGACAGACCACCAGAAAGGAGTCTTGAGCAAATACTTACAAATGAGATGAAGGGATGACACAGGAAGATATTCCTCGAAAATTTTTTGTGGCAATATGTAGTATAGCACAGTAATGCCCTGCAAATGGCTCCTGACGTAAGTCAGTATCCTTCCAAAGAAATTAGATCTTTTTCATTACGTGCTATTTATCTGATGATTAATTAACAAAACGCAAAATTCTAAATTCAACTAGACATTTATGTTCTTGTGTAAAGAATAGACATGGGGTATTCATATTCTGGAACTGGATTCCAGAGACTTGGTATTTAGAGAACATTTTGGATCCAACCACTTGACGAATAGGGTCAACTATCAAAGTTCAGACTTGGATCTCTTACAAATATGAAATTATTCAAAGAGGAATTTGAATTCATGTTTACATCAGAGACCAATAGAATACCTCTTTTCGTTTGTAATAATGACTGAGACAGAGAAATCATGACTTTAAGCAGATCTGGTCTGTAAAACAGTGATCAGATTTTCAAATAGCATTCTCTGCTTGGTAATCTATTTCAGCAAGCTTTAAGCTGCCTAAGAATAAGAGCCCATCAATTTTTGCTATGATTAAGGCTTAAAAACAGTCCTGCTGCTGCCAAATAATGAAACAGAATATGCTGACAAAAAGGAATTTCTTTTGATACATTCTGAGCCAGGTCCAAGCTCAAAGAAGGTGCATGCAAAAAAGAAACAGGTCTTGCTATCTATTGCCTTGTCTAGAGGGTAGGGAATTGGAGGAGTGAATACTGAGGGCTCCCCAGCAATCACTGTAGTTTGTCATGCTTCAGGTTAACCCTGAAAAAAAAAAGATGAGGAGAGGGTATGATTAGTGGTTAGCTTACAGCATCCAGGTTATGTGTAGGAGAAGGTGAGGGAAAATGCATCCTGACAGTGTTGGTGGAAGCCTGTTTCATTTCTGAGTTCTTGTAACAATCACTGTAGCTAGACCTTACTCAAGCTCACCTTAAGCACTAAACTGTAATTTTGAAAGAAAAAGAAATCCACCTACAACATTTCTAATGTCAGCTATTTTCTACTTTATCTACACCTGCCCACTTCATAGAAGATTGGAAATGCAATAATGTTATTATCAAACCATGAGGCATCCTGGCCTTTAGATTATATGTTATCTTATTTGCACTGCCCTCTCAGTTTCTCACTACAAAAAATAGTGCAGAGAAATTTAAGAAATATTTGAAATCATATATTTTAAATATCTCCTCTCAATCCCTCTCATTATAAGAGGAATCTTTAAATTTGAAAATACAATCTCCAAATTTCAGGTATGTGTTATTCAAAGCAGAACAAAAATTGCATGTTTCTTTACCTCTTAATTGCTATAGTAGCAGCTGTCTGTTAAATCTGTGATTTCCCTGATTTTAGAGAAATCTGACGATGTGTTTTGATGCACGTTTCTCTCACCAGTATCCTCATTTATTTCAAGGAAACAACATCTAGGGGGATTTTTTTTGCATGAACCCAGCAAATTATATGCCTTACAGGGATTCACAATAACCTCTGTGCTATAATTGTCATTTCCACCACCAAGATCCCAATGAAACAATACCTCCAGAGCTGTGCTGGTACCACTGAGGTGGAACTAGAGCTGAAAGTATGCAAGTTTCTCAAGATACGTGTAGAAGCAAAGAACAGGGGTGCACCATGAGTGGAAAAAAAGCTCTTGAATTTAAAAATTATGAGCGAATAGCCCGGAGTTGGCTCCCAGCTGTGCCACATGCTTCCTCTTCCCTCCTCTGTTCCAGCTCTGGCTGTTTTCAGTTTAGGTCACCAAAACGGTACTTGCTGCTATCTGTGATGGCAGAGCCAGAGGAAAGAAAGATTTTGTATTTCTCATACCCTGTTTTCTGAGCTAGCAGGACAATTATGGGGGCAATGCAAGAGGAGGGAGGCTTGTTCCTCTTGTTCCAGCATTAGACCTGCTCCACGAGGAGACTGAAATTTTCAGTTGCTAGAAATGCCAGTCTTGAATTATTGGAGAGGAGGACACTCAGGCACTTCCACTTCTACAAGCCCACCATATACTGCACTAATTTCTGCCTCCCTGAGTCTTACAGATTTCTCATGATATGATACAAGCTTTCCATTTGAACAGCCCACATATCCCTGGACTATATTTCTCACAGATTTCCATCTTCCACCCACAACTCCATTGACTTCTCAATACAAAGAGGATGAACAATAAGAAAATAGAAACTCTGGAAACTGAAAGAAAGATTTCAAAACCTCACTCATAAAGATTCTGAAAAAAGATTCAACCTGGGAAGGAGCTTTAAAACCACGGCAGCAGGCCAGGGATTCATTGTTGCCTAAGATTTAAGATGATCTTATATGAAAGCATGTCCATCAGGTGGCAAGCTGGCAAGGAGAAAGAATGGAGAAGGAAAAACATAGATTTCGGTGGGGTTTTGTTTGTTTGGTGTAGGAGGGTTGTTTGGTTGGTTTGGTTTGCTTTGGAGTTTTGTTTGTTTGTTTTTATTGGTTCGGGGTTTTGTGTGTGTGTGCATGTGTTTGTTTGGAGGGGTTGGGTGGTATTTTTTTCACAATATTTAAAAGGAAACTTCAGTGAAATGTCATTGCCAGATGTGCTTAAAATTCTCTCCCTGGGGAGCTGGGTCTGCTCCAAGGACCTCTTCTGAGATGTTCAAAAGCCTTCTGGACAACTGGCTCTGGGTGGCCCTACTTGACCAGGGGTGTTGTTCCAGGTGATCTGCAAAGGTCCCTTCCAACCCCAAGCATCCTGTGGTTCTGTGACATACTGAAGGTTACAGGGAGCTGGCTCAGATCAGGGACTCCACACATGTCTCCAGCTGTTCAGTGGGGACATTTTTCCCTGCCTGCTCCCTTGGCAGGCTCCTTTACCTTGGTTGAGCTCCCAAAGTGATACCTCTGAAAGCAGCATTGTGGGATGGGACTATGCTGCTTTCTCCAGGACTTCTCTTGGATGTTCTTCCCTGACCTCTGCTTTCAAGCTGTGCTTCCAGCAGCAGCTGTATGAACCTTCCACGGCTGCTGAGAAATGTGTTTGAACTTCCACCCAGGAACTAGAAAATTGCTTAGCTACAGGGCTGCCTCAAGCACAAAAGGCACAGGCTGTCTGTGAAGGGGCTCCACATTTGGCTAATCCCCAAAATGAATATTGCTCAGGAAACCTGTGAAGGAGTAACTCCAAGATTTCAAGGAAAGAAGACAGAAGAAATGACAGCATTTCAGGCCAAAATTCTGGATGTGCATAGAGATTGTTTTATTTCACCTGATATTGGCTTCTAGCCAAGTTGATTGATTTCTAGACCTCAGTTTCACATTAGGGGCCTTGGATAGGAGCGATACAGGCAGTGTGCTCCATCCACCAGTAAGTTCTTTTTTCCTCAGTTTTATACAAAATCTTAAAGAGAAATCT